AGGTAATTTGGGTTTAGGAAAATATTTATTTCACATTCTTAAGAATTTTTTAGAAATTCTAACCAATGGAGGGGGAAAAAGTTGCATAAATAAACTGAGGTTCTTAACTTATTTTAATGTTAAATATAGTAATTAAAAATTGTTAAGAACCCTAATATCAATGTAAATGCTCTTAAGGATACATATGGTTGACATATTAGAGAAATAAAAGTGGGTGGAATTAACAATTTCATTAAATTCCTCTAAAAAATTCACCACTTAAGTGAATATGCTTTCCTCACAATTTTATTTGACCCCACAAAATATCACTTTTGTGCTTTTAAATTTTAAAAACACAATTTTTTTTTAATATAATTACACTTTTGAATGTTAAATTTACTAAAAAAAGGTGTAGCAACACTAGAATACTAAAGGTGTAGCAACACTAGAATGCTAAATTTACCAGAATGCTAAATTTTGTTTTGAATGTTAAATTTTTTTGTAATTTTCTTGTTTTCATTTTTTTAATATAACTACACCTTTCGAATGTTAAATATCAAAACATTGATCGTAAGTCCTAAAGATTAAACAAGGTCAACAATTTCTCCTTCTGTATAGAACTTACGATCAATGTTTTGATATTTCAGTCCAGGGCCTTGTGGTCGAGTGGTAAGAAGATGGGTTTGTGGCGCCAACACGTTTCAAGTTTGATTCACCTACTGTGGGAAACTAAAACATATTGCCTTGGACAACCAGACGAATATGGATCTTTGCTTTCATCCTATTTGCATATTCGGAGAGAGGATCTATCCGTGGTCTGCATCTCTCCCATAGATTAGTCTGGACCTCTCCGTAGGCCTCAGATTTACAATTATATATAAAAAAGAATGTTTTGATACTTCAAACTTTTTAAAAGATATATTTTGACATATTTCAATAGATTTATCTAATGATAATTTTAAATCAATAAAAATATCTTTATCTCAAATAAAAATAAATACATATTAATAATAATCATGAATACGGATTTTTATTTTATTTATTAAAACATGTAAATTTTTTAATTCACACCAAGACTAAAAAGTCTTTGCATATGTAAAGAGGCAATTTTCAAAAAAGCCAAAAAGAAGTGTATTTTACAAATTAATAAACACAAATAGAGTATTTTTTTAAAAAAATTCTCAAAAACTAGTTAAACTGAAAATTGGTATTTCTCAAAAGAAAGAGAAAAAAGTTGGTGGAAAAAGTCCTAATTCCATTCATTATTTTTTTACATTTTTCAGTTTATTCCTCCATGTCACTACCATTCACCCTAAGATAAATTTTTAAAGTTAGCGCATTTTTGTTTGGTCAACCAAACAATAAATTAAAATTTGCACCTTTTTATCGTAAAATTTAGAAAGGTTAGACACCCCCATCTCTTTTTTAGCCAAGCTTATTCCATAGTATTGCTTGAGATCGGTAGTCAGTTTCTGAAACCATAAACCACTTAAAACGAAGAAAAATTATTATTAACATTTTGTTTAGATGTCATAACTCCAACATCATCATAAATCTAAGGATTTAAAACCTTATTTACTATGAGAAAACAGAATGGAAGAAAAAAAATATATATCAAGAAAAAACAAAGTTGATAATTTATGAAGTATTCCCTTGGTATTATACTCCTTGAGAAAATGAATTCTTCCAAAGTCTAATACTATACAAAGTTGTTAATATATCAAGTATTCTCTTGGTATTATACTCCTTCGTTCTACCATTGAAGTGCCACTATTCAGAAATGTCTTTTTTTTTTCAAAATCATTGCAAAAATGCCACTTTTTCAAATCATTTACTTAATATATTATTTATGTTTGGGATAAATATCTTGTATTAAAGTTTAGTTTTGAGAGTTTATGGCTTGTTTAGGATCAAAACTTTTTTTAGGGTTTAAAATTTTAAGATCTAGAGTTTAAGAATATTTAATTAGTG